ATTTAGGCTATTTTCAATGTGGTTCCTTTGAAATTATAATCTCTACGCTGTACTGACTAAATATTTATGTGTTAAATGTCAAAGAAAATTGAGGAAGAAGAGAGAAAAAAGAAAGTAAGAAAATGTCATCAATTTGATAATAGATGGGAATTTTTTATAAAGTACATCTCTGCCTGCACAAGGACAGAAACTGTTTTTTTTTTTATTGCCTACCACAAAGTGAAATAAATGGCTGTAAAATCTTCATTGTAAAAAAACAACAACAACAAAGAAGTAAACTTCTTAGAGTGTTCTAAACGTGTTAAAAGTTATGGGCAAAACTGTTTTTTGTTTCTTAGTTTAACTTATTTGTGAGCAAAATGTTACCAAAACAGCCCAGTGTATCAGATTTGATACAAAAATAAATCGTAAACAAAGTGATGTGGCAAAAAAAAAATTTTGGAGTTTGTTTAAAGGCCCCAAAAACATGCCAGTTCTAAAAAATGGGAATTTTCTGGCTATTTTTAAAAGGGTTATGCTTTAAAGGGTTGGTTAGAAGCAGATGGATCAACAACTCAGACCCTTCAGTAATAAGGGTGTGTTTTCTGTGTGTTGTGGTGACGGAGCTAAGCTGAAGGGGGGAAATTCTTGATTTACTTTTTCTTCTACAGTTCTGCCTTCACATCACGAGAAGTGGATCGTTATCAAATGAATAAAATTCTTGATATAAGCAGCTGAAATGAGCTTCCTCTGTAACATTCTCACTCAGGTGTGCTTTTCCACAGGCACACTGAGATTTATCTGGATTAAAAAGAAATAAATCCAGCACTCTAACTGTGTGGCTCCACTCCCGTGTTACATCCTGATTCATTGAGCCCCGGCCTTCTGTCTCGGGTTAAAAACAGACAAATGTGTTTTGGTACAGTCTCTGCTTTTATTTATCAGCCTTAAACCCTCGTGCACGGGACCGAGGTGGCTGTGGAGCAGAAGAGTTAGTGAGGAAGGCTGCTGTGAATCGCTGTAAAATGTGGCAACCTTGTGTCAGTCGACTTGACTGAAGCAGACACTCAGTTCCATTATAGCAGATTGAAATCTCCACTGGAGCGTGGAAGGGAGTAATGTGCTGGTTATATGGCCTGAACTGTGATGGATATATGCACATGCAAACAGCATCAATAAAGTCACTGGAGGAAAATAAAATTTTTGTGTTTTATTTTGTTTTGTGCAAGAACTGCATGTTTGCAATAAAAATAACAATAAATGAAAAAAAAAATACAGAAATGACTGGTTTGGAAAAAAAATCACTTATCCACGTTCTGGCAAAGACAAGCCCATATGTATGATTGTTAGCCTTTGAATCTGTAATGATTTATTCATGAGCCACACACAAGATGGTCTGAAGAAGGGCAGTATGTTCTTGTCCTTTCTGCATTATTCCTCGCTGCCACCCTGACTTCTGCAGCAGCGTGGCTGCCAACACGACTCTCCTCTTACAGCCACCGCCAGATTCATCTGGACCGGCTCCGTGTGAGCTGAACTCAAATTATGCACAGAAAAAGGAACAACACATGCTGCATTTGCATCAGAACTCCTGTGCAGGAGCTTTATTGCAGATAATAAACAACAGGGAGGTGTTCCACCAGAGACAAGGATTCTTTGAAAGCAGTAAATGAGGCCTGAAGGTTTAAGAGAAGCTTTGAGTTGGAAATTAATGTGGGACATAACTTTTGATGCCAAACTGATTAAGTGAGTCAACTGTGTCTGTCTGTTAGCAAAATATCTAATTTACCACTAAGCTGATTTCACTGAAACTTTCAGAAAGTAGTTAATGGATGTACATCTACAACTCTTTAGCATTTGGAGTCAACCCATTTGAAGACGGCTGCTACAGCTAATTGACCTTAGGAAACACGAAAGTGGTGATAACTCTGTCAGTTCTACAACAGCTGAGCTAAAATCTGGTGTGGTAGCAGCTGAGAGTCATCCTCAACACACCTTAAGCTCCAAAGCATGACATCATTACCAGGGCTGGTCCAAAACAGCTAGAACTCAAAATAGTCTTCATCCAAAACTGTTGCTCTAAAATCAGAGAACCATGTGAAAAATAAATAAATAAATAAATAAATAAATAAATAAATAAATAAATAAATAATTGTGTTTAAATCTGCTGGTTTCATCTAAAAAACAACTTCCTGACATCTTTAATAGATGTGTATCAGCTCCAGTCACAGAGGAGTCCTCTGCGCGCTCGTGGTGCGCGTGCCCGTGTCGGCGGCTGCAGGAGCTCCATCAGAGGAGAGCAAACTTCATGCAGGTTCTTCAGGTCCTGCAGAGAGAAGTTCACCGGGAAGTTCTAAAAACYAACCAAGTGGGCCAGGTTCGGACCGCTGGATCTGGATCGAAGCGGTTTAACACTTCCTACGCGCGTGTTCGTTGGAGGACAGATACGGTCCAGATGTTGTAGCGCGCGCAGAATAAAACGGAACTACTAACAGATATTTGTCTTGAAGCTGTACACCTGTTTCATTTGTCCAGCAACAGGGGCAGAAAACAAGACCAAAAACTTCTGCATCACAGCGGAACAAACGGATGAATCATTGATTTTTAAGAGACTTCTTCTCTTTTTTTGTTGTTTTCTTCTTATCTTTATTTTTTTGAAGGACCAAGAAGAAGGAGATCCAGGAGATGACACTCCTCGCCTTGCTCATCTTCTTCACTCTCTCCTGCACATGTGAGTTTGTCTGTGCATTTTTTATTTACATTTACCGGGAATGTTTATTGAGGTAAAAAATATTTTTGAAAAAAAAAGTTTATTTTCCTTTAATTTAACTGAAAAACGTAATACTTTCTATACAACTTTAATGCTGATGGTACATTATATAAGGTACATGTTGACATTACAATAAGGCACTGTATTTTTACCTGATCTAATTTGCTCCTATAAAGCTTTAACTTAATAACTATTGATCAGATCAGAGCCAGTAAAACATCCCATAAGAATTTTTTTCAATCCTTAAAAAAAAGCTCATTTATGTTTTTATCACACACTGTGGGATGGTGATGATGTTTTTGCTTATTTCATGTGACTGTTACCAAAATATCTCATGAACCACAGCTTTGAATGAAACTTGTAAAACTGTTTGGTACAGATCTAAAACGAATTAAATGTTGGTGTCCGCTTCATTCAAGGTCACCACAAACAACTGGCAGTAAAAAAACACAACATAAGTTTTAACTCTCTGTTTACACATATTGTGCTAAAATTTGATGTGATTACAACAACAGAGTTCTTTCAATTCGCGTAACTCATTATGCAAGATATTTGACTAAAACTTTAGAATCAGTTCTGTTAGCAAAATATCTCATCAACCATGTAACAGTTTAGCAAATCTTGTAGAAAGTTATCACTGGATGTATGAATTATAAACTTTTGAAGCAAAAYCTTATTTAAGATGGCCATCAGCTAACTGCAGTAGTCTACACCTAAATGGCTATAAATCTGCTAATGATGTTCTGCTAAAGTGGGATTTGATAGTAGCTAAGATTCATTTACAACACATACTTGAGTGAAATCTTGCAATAATGCCACTGTTTTTTTTGTGTCACTTCAGCAGAAAACAAAACCAAGTATTATTAGTTTATTTAGTTTATTTCTTCATCATCAGTGACTTAAAAAATGCCATTGTTTTAATGGATTGACCAAAATGCCTACATCACTCTTTCACAACAATGATCATAGTCTAAAACTCATATACATTGTCAGACGATATATATTCTTTAAAGATTTTTTTCTGCACTGTTAATGTTTAAATACAAGTGCTAAAGCTAAATGTTATCATGGAGCCAGTTTCTTGAGCAAAAGATTCAAGTCTCCCCTCTCCATGAAACAAAAACTGGAGCGAGCAGATGAATTATTACAGGCTCCTGTTTTGGGACAAGGAGTCATTCAAGTGTGTTCAGAAAAAAAACAGGAAATGGAGCTTTCTTGGTTGTAGGTATAAAATAGCCAACAGTAAATTATTCACAGAGCCATCTGCGTTTACTTATGAATATTTTTAGAGTACGAACACCAGGAGGTACTGTAGCTGTTGTCATAAGAATATATTCCTCTGGTTAAAGTCAAACATCTGAAACAAATACACTGTTCATTTGTCTTCTGATGGAAAATAAATTACTAAACCAAATTCATCTTACAAATATTTATTATTATTAAATTTTTTTGTTTTACAATCTCATTACATCTGCTATATTAACCACTCATAAATCTAAAAAAAAGTAATTCATGTAATGGGTGACATTGACTAGACATTTTTGTCTTGTAATTTTCAAAATTTTACCTTTATTCTTATAGAAATGCAAAATTTCTTTAACTTTTTATAAACATTTTTTGTTTAAAATCTGCTTTAGCATCTCTGCTCTCTTATTATGCTATTTTTAGCTTTTAGCTAACATTTTGCTGCTTATAGATGATCATTTACTAACTTTAGCATTTAGCAAGCCTTTTGATACTTTTTAATGTTTAGCCTTTTGATATTCTTTTGTTATTTTTAGATTTTAGCAAGTGTTTTACCACATTTAGCTAGTATTTTGCTTCTTTTAGCTTTTAGCTATAGTGTTCTCCTAAGCATTAACAACCCAGTTTCAGCTTCTTCAGCAACTTTCAGCTGTCATTTAGTACTCATCACTCACTCTGCATTTACACAGAAAAGCAGTTTCTCCAGTTTATTAATGTACAGTTCTTCTGTTTACTTATTACACAGTTATTATCACATATTTAGCCACACATTCATTAACTTTAGATCAATGACACTACTTCAGATGAGAGACAATCACATATTTGCGATCCGTTTTTTTTTTTTCATTTTTGTTAGTTTTTTTCTCTACACTGTCATCTGATGGTAAATCTGGCCGTCTTTTTTTGTTGAAGTAAAATGCCAGAGGATATTTCATTCAGTTTTAATTGATTGCCTTGTCTTTTGGAGAAAAAGCTGAAAGAGTAGGGTGCATCTGTGAAAAGAAGAGCCGCTGTCACTGCACGTAATCCTACAATAAAAGGAAACAATTCATGTGGCGCAAAGAAGAGGAGTATGTAGATATTTAATGCCCGCTGTGCTCATCAGTTTGTTTGACAATGTAGACGTGATGACTCCAAAATGTCAAGAGGGAAAACATTTCATGTTTGACCTATTCATCCAAAACCGTAGAGATGTAGAAACAAGGAGCTCTGAGGGATCGTCTCACACGATGCACGACTGGATCTGTGTTTGTTCTTCTGCTCTGAAACTCTGCAGTAAAGCATCAGCCTGCAAACTCAACTCCCCAAGCCCCTCAGTGTGTTCTGCTCTCATCTTGGTTTGTGAATTCCTTTCAGTGAGAATGTTTCTTTGCTCTGAAATTGATGGAAATTACATGCCCAGACCATGTGTTTCTGCTTTTTTTTCCTCAGACAGCGGAGCAGAGAATGCAGAGGAGCGGCTGATGAACTACCTGCTGGGGCCAGAGCGCTACAACAAACTGATCCGACCAGCTGTCAACAAGAGTCAACAGGTCACCATCTCCATCCAGGTGTCTCTGTCTCAGCTCATCAGTGTCGTGAGTTCATATTCTCAATGCATCAGATTCTTCTGGATCTGCTGAAAAACAACATTTTAGATCAGACCAAGTTTAGTTGATGTCAGCAGAATTCTTTGGTAATAATATCAGACTGTACCTGTGTACGTACCTGATATGTACCAGTGTACATACCTGATATATACCAGTGTACATACCTGATATATACCAGTGTACATACCTGATATGTACCTGTGTACAGACCTGATATATACCAGTGTACATACATGATACAGTGGTTTGCAAAAGTATTCATACCCCTTGAACTTTTCCATATTTTGTCACATTACAACCACAAACATAAATATATTTCACTGGA